TTGTTGGTGTGTGTGTGTGCATGTGTGTGTGTGTATGTGTTTATGTGTGTTTGTGTGTGTTGTGTGTTTGTGTGCGTGTGCGCGTTTGTTTTTCCTTTTTTTATTTGTTTTTAAGTTTTTTTTTTGTAAATATATGAAGTTAAAAAAAAAGAAATAAAAATGTTGTTGTACATCTTTGAAATATCTATAAACCTTTATTTTCAATTTGTTTTTCTGTTTGTTTTTTAGCCCTAAACAAATCTCTGTGTAAAAAAAAAAAAAAAAAAATCATTGCATTTTTTTGTTTTTGTTTTTTATCATTGTGTTTATATTTTTGATTTTCTAAAAATATAGTTAAAGCTAAAAAAATAAGAATAAGAATATGAGGTTGTCGACCTCAAAATGATTTACAACCCTATTCTTAAAAATTGTTTTTTTGGATAATGTTTAGCCCGCGAAAAAAATTATCGCGAGTTCTTGTAAAACCTGTCGTCTCGGCATTTAAACGCTAAATCAATAGAATTTAACAGTCGTTGAATCATTCAACTTGGGACCCGCGTTGAATCCAATCTCAAACACAACTAATGAAGGCGTGCCCCGCAATCGATAACCGACTCCCTTTCCCTATAGATCTTTGACGTGTTGTACACTTTCTTTTCTGAGCCTGTTGACTTGCCCCCTGACAAACGGTGCACAACACGCAAAAGAATGAACTACATTGAGGAAGCGAAGATTCATTCATGGTTTACTCATAACATTCACCTTTCCTCCGCCCCCCATATACTAAGCCTTCGAATCAGTACCTGTGTCCACAGTTTGCGCCGATAATACTGTGACAAGTGGCCGACTTTTTCACCAACCTCCTACCTGTTTGAACACAATCTTCTTTCAACCCCTCATGCGCACTAAGGACTGGTGTATCGATCTTAGAGACATTATTCCTTGTTGTCTGCCATCACAGAAGGGGACAAAGGCGTTTGTAAATGCCCCACTCCAAATCCACATGGGCTTCATACCATGGTTGGGTGGTTAAGGCTTCTTGTAAGTGCCACACCCAACCTTCAACCTCCACAAGGCCCTGTGTCCATGAGCGGATAGGGTAAGGTGTTTCGAGAATGTTGCACCCCTGTCGCACCAATGTACCTCAGCCCACTATCGAATATGGAGGCCTGGCAGGCAGAGGGGGTTAAAACGCCGCACCCTCGGGTCCCGAACTCGACAAGGGCCGGGGGATACGATGTTTCCAAAACGCCATACCCCCGCTTACCCGCGAACCTGGAGGCGACCGGTGCGGCCAAGGGCGGAAAGACGTTTCCAAAACGTCCTCCCCCCCGTCCACCGTTTGATCCGGAGGGGGGGCGAGCGAGGGGGGTGCCGCATTTTGAAAAAGCCATGCCACTTGATTCATGCCCGCCCGGCCTCAAGTGTGACAAGGGACAAGGGGTAGGCGTTTCCAATACGCCATTCCCCACCCCCTACCCTACGAACCGAGTGACGACATGCGCATGCAAGGGGGGTAACATCCTTTGCAAAACAACGTTCCCCTCTGGCACCATCCGATCCAGAGAACGGATGGGCATGGGGGAGTACAACATTTAAAAAATGTCAAAGACCTTCTCCCATGCCCGCCCAGCCCCGAGTCCAACAGTGGGTATTCAAATCGTGTTCTCAAATCGTTGGAACCCCTCGAGCCCAACGGACCCTCACGCGACCACGGCAAGCACGGGGGAGAGAGTTTAATCCCTCTACCCACATCCAAGCCAGGGCCCTACCTGGCAAAGTGACCATACTCGTCACGACAATCTCTTAAGATGAGCCAACCTTTTTCAGAAAAAAAGGGGAGGCGGAGTTTTATCCCTCTTCCCCCATCGGAGCCTGGGTTCTATATGATGGCAAAATAACCAGACTCATCAGGATATTCTTTCCGGATGACGCAATGTTTTTGGGGAAACAAAATGAGGGACGGACTTTAAGCCCTCTCCCGACATCGAAGCATGGGTTCTAAGTGGGAAACTGACCATATTCATCACAACAATCTTTCCAGATGACAAAGCATTTTTTTTTTAAAAAAAGGGAAGGGAAAACTGCGTAGCACACCGAACGTGTTCAGAAGTTTTCCGAACATCTGAACACATTCGGCCGTTTGCCCGAACGGGAAGCGAACGCGTTCGCACGAACGACTATCGGAGGCCTGCGAACACGTTCGCCCAACGGGCGCCCAACGGGCGTTATCGGCCCTCCGAAGGGTCTAGGGGGTAGCTTGGGGGCCTTGGGGGGGTGTTTGGGGGGCGGGGTTGGGCGGGCGGCCTGGAGGGAAGGGGCAGCCAGGTCCCCTGTTCGAATTCGAACGAACAGTCAGGCTGCCCCACCGCTCGTCGCCACGCAACATTCGCCATCGGAGCAGCGAACCCCCTGGTAGGTGTGCCTCCTCCTCCCTCTCCTTCTCCTCCTCCGCCTCCTCCTCCTCCTCCGCCTCCTCCTCCTCCTCCTCCGCCATATCTTCTTCTTCTTCTTCTTCTTCTTCTTCTTCTTCCTTTCTTTTTTTCCGTTTTTTTAACTTTTATTTCTATTTGTTTTCTAACTTTCCTAAGTTCTTTTTTCGTCAAATCTTATTTTTCTCCTTCTCCTACTTCTTCTTCTTCTTCTTCTTCTTCTTCTTTCTTCTTTTTCTTCAACTTTTTCTTCTTCTTCTTCTTCTTCTTCTTCTTCTTCTTCTTCTTCTTCCTCTTCTTCTTCTTCTTCTTCTTCTTCTTCGTCGGCGGCGGCGGCGTCGGCGGCGTCGGCGGCGGCGCCCTACCGTCCTCCGCCTCCTCCTCTTCCTCCTCCTCCTCCTCCTCCTCCTCCTCCTCATCCTTATCCCTATCCTGACTTCCTTCGTTTCCACCCCCATTTCCCCCTCCCCCCCCGATCGTCGCTCTCCCCTTCTCCCCCTCTTCCTCCTCCTCCTCCTCCTTGTCCCCATCCCGATCCCAACTTCCCCATCCCGCCCCCCATTTCCATTTTTTTCCCCATCTCTCGATCTTCATCTCCCCGAACCTTACCCTGACTTTCACCCCGATCTCATTTCGATCCCGACTTCCCCCGTTTCCCCCTTCCCATTTTTTCATCCCCTGATCTTGATGTCCTCGAACCCTACCCCGACTTTCTTCCCGATCTCATCCCGATCCCGACTTCCCCC